GGTCGTACGCTAATTACCATGTTTCTCTTTTATTTGTATAGATATATATCTATATATATCTATATATATATATATAATAAGAATTTGAAAATAATCCATGATGCAGATATCTCAGCCTGAATTACAATTGAAGGTGGTCATACAATGCTTTTAAGATTGCTTTTTAACAGTCATAACAAGCATTTTTAAAATAAAAACACATGTTGAACCTTGGACAATGTGGATTCTATTATAATCACATATTACTAAAACGGAATAATTTAGACATGTTTCTGGTATTCACCTATTGGTACTTGAGGATAAAAGTATATTTTAAATTTTACATTATTATACACTTACAATGTTTTTAGGGAAACTGACTTAAAATCGGTCAATTTTTTTTACAATACTTATTTTATTTATTTATTTATTTTTACTTTTTTAATTGTTTTATTGCTTAAAGTATTACAGAGAGTATTATATATGTCTCTTTTTTTTTCTCCCCTTGACCTTCCACTAGCTTCCCCTACCCCCACCCCCCACCCCAGTGTCTTGTGTCCATTGGTTATGCTTATATGCATGCATACAAGTCCTTTGGTTGATCTCTTACCCCATCCCCCAACCCTCCCCGGCCTTCCCACTGTAGTTTGACAGTCTGTTCGATGCTGCTCTGCCTCTGTATCTATTTTTGCTCATCAGTTTATATTGTTCTTAATTATCCATAAATGAGTAAGATCATGTGGTATTTTTCTTTCATTGACTGGCTTATTTCACTTAGCTTAATGCTCATATTTTGTTTTGAAATTAAATGGTGCTGCAGTTTGGTATTGTGTTAAATTCTTGTATTCAAATATTTTTGCACAGGTTATCAGTGGTATCCAGTTGCCTCCCAGTATTCATTCATCATCTAACAAAGCTGACACATTAGTGATTATAGAAATTTTTGGTGTTCCAAATGATCAAGTGAAACAGCAGACTCATGTAGTTAAAAAAAATGGTGAGCTCCTAACATATTTCATTGAACTTCTATTAGACTTCTTGTTGAAAAGCTTAAAAATTATATATTGACAGAGTTTTGATATCTAATATTCATAAGGCAAAGGTTTTGCATTATTTTTAAGATGATAGAAGTGTTATATGCAGCAAAAGCAATTTGATAATAATTTAATGTTATTTAGATATATTTTCAGATTACAGATACAAAATTTTATCTGAAAAAAATTATACTTTTTTCACTTTTACCTCCTTTTTATGTTTTCTCCAATATCACTGAAGTAAGGGAGACATTTTGAGGGCTGAAAATTGACTTAGCTTCCAGCCTCCATGTAAAATGAAGAACTCGTGATTATTCTGATAGAGCATGTTACACATTTGTATTTCACTGCTTGAATTATTTTAAAAGTCTGTGGCTTCTGACACAGGCTAAGGCTTCCATAGAAACCTACTCATACAGTATTTGGATTCATAATCCAGTCATTTTTGCCAGAAGGGAAATGTAGGAATGGAAGAAATGACTTTGGTAAGATTTTCAGTGTTCCAGGGTCTCATGATATTTTATGTAGTACAGTACTGACATTGTCATTTCTTCCCTGAGGTTGAAGTCATTCAGGAAGTTAGACAAGTATAGAGTCCTGGGATTGACTCTTAGTCAGATCACCTTGGAAGAAACCTTGGAACTGATATTTGAGTCTAGAATCTTCTTTGAGTTGATATCCCCAAAGTATAGTGGACTTCACTTCAGAGTCTGGAAATATGCTATAGGCTTAATGACACTGACAGAAAAGCAGGTGAAGTTATATTAGTTTTTTTCTTCTTGGGTGATAATCCCCTTTGATGCCTACTATCTGCCCATTATGTTAAAAGCCTAATGCTAAGTACCAGGAAACTTAAAATCTTGGTTTATTAAGTGTGTTATTTTGTCAGTCCCAAGTAACTGTGTTACAAATAGTTCACAGTCCAGTATGGGGATTGAAATACAAGTAAAACAATTAAAGAATTATTAGTGCTTTAAGAAAAGTATAAAGAATTGTAGTGGAAAAAGCAAATTTGGAGATAGTTCTTGGAGAGTCAGAATTTTAAAATATATATATATATTATTGATTTTTTACAGACAGAGGAAGGGAGAGGGATAGAGAGTTAGAAACATCGATCAGCTGCCTCCTTCACACCCCCTACTGGGGATGTGCTTGTAACCAAGGTACATGCTCTTGACTGGAATCAAACCTGGGACCTTTCAGTCCGCAGGCTGACGCTCTATCCACTGAGCCAAAGAGTCAGAATTTTTTACAGAGATCGAGGACAAGAGCATTTAAGGCAAAAGGAATAATATGAGTGATAAAATATGGAGAAAAAATTCAAACATACTGAGGAAAAGTAAAGAAGTTCAAGATGAGTGGAGTACAGGTTACTTAAAAGAGATTAGTATGAAATAAAATAAGAAAGTTCTATTGGAGATGGTCATGTGATTGTGTGTATGAGAGACAGAGAGAAAGAGAGAGGGAGAGAGAGAGTTTATACTAGAGTAGGGTTGGAGGAGGTAGAATCAATCAGTATAAGAATTTTGTGCTGACATTAGCAATATCTATAAAGAACTGATTCTTAAACCAGTCCCTTTATGGGATTATTTCCCCTCTTAGAAAAAGGTAATACAGTCATTATTCCAACATGAGTCACTTAGTTCAATATTTTTGTGGGAATCCTGTATGACTGTCTAGTAAATTCACATTTGTGACCACAGACAATGTATAATTAGCCACAAATTCTTTAATGTTTCTGGAGATGTAACTCAAAGAACAAAAGCTATTGACATAGCAGGCATAGCATTGCCTTTGTCCATGAAAAACAATGCATATTTTTCTCTGAACCTCTGAGTATTTATTAAGTGATTTCTTTATTATATTTGATCTGCATGTGAATTTCTTGATTCCATTAAATTATGCTTAAATAAAGGATGACTAGAGGCCCGGTGCACAAAAATTTGTGCACTGGGGGGGGGAGGGTGTCTCAGCCTGGCCTGTGCCCTCTCGCAGTCTGGGACCCCTCGGGGGATGTCCACCTGCTGGCTTAGGCCCGCTCCCTGGGGGATCCGGCCTAAGCTGGCAGTCAGACATCCCTCTGACAGCCCAGGAGCCCTCAGGGGATGTCCACTTGCCAGCAGGGAGCAGACCTAAGCTGCAGTCGGACATCCTTAGCGCTGCTGAGGAGGCAGGAGAGGCTCCCACCACCACTGCTGTACTGGCAGCTGTCAGCCTGGCTTGTGGCTGAGCAGAGCTCCCCCTGTGGGAGAGCACTGACCACCAGGGGCAGCTCCTGCATTGAGCATCTGCCCCCTGGTGGTCAGTGTGTGTCATAGTGACCAGTCATTCCCAGTCGTTCTGCTGTTAGGGTCAATTTATATATTATCTTTTATTATATAGGATAGAGGCCTGGTGCATGGGAGGGGGCCGGCTGGTTTGCCCTGAAGGGTGTCCCGGATCAGGGCTGCGGGTCCCTTATGGGGTGCCTGGCCAGCCTGGGTAACAGGCTGATGGCTGTTTGCAGGCTGGCCACAGCCCCTTCAGGCTAGGGGTCCCTGCTGGGGTGCCTGGCCAGTCTGGTTGAGGGGCTGATGGCTTTTGCAGGCTGGCCACAACCCCCAGCCACCCAAGCTCCCAGTGGAGGCTGGCTGGAAGCAGGTCTCTGGGATTTATTTGTCTTCTATAATTGAAACTTTGTTGCCATGAACAGAAGCCTCAGCCAGCTCAGGGCTGGTGGGAAGCCTGGCTTCCTCCATCGCCCGTGCAACCAAGCCTCCTGCTTGTCCAGCTCCGTGGCTGCCGGCCAACATCTTGGTTGGGTTAATTTGCATATAGTTGCTCTGATTGGCTGGTGGGCGTGGCTTAGGGCATAGTGAAGTTACGGTCAATTAGCATCTTTGTCTTTTATTAGTGTAGATTTGGGTCATGTTGCAACACAATTGGATTTCTTTTTTGACAAGAGATTGTTGTTTGGGATGATCTATTTTGCTAGAAACATACATTATTCATCAACTTTGTACTTTAAAAATGAGCACTTGGCCCTAACTGGTTTGGCTCAGTGGATAGAGCAAGCCTCAGCCAGCTCAGGGCTGGTGGGAAGCCTGGCTTCCTCCATCGCCCGTGCAACCAAGCCTCCTGCTTGTCCAGCTCCGTGGCTGCCGGCCAACATCTTGGTTGGGTTAATTTGCATATAGTTGCTCTGATTGGCTGGTGGGCGTGGCTTAGGGCATAGTGAAGTTACGGTCAATTAGCATCTTTGTCTTTTATTAGTGTAGATTTGGGTCATGTTGCAACACAATTGGATTTCTTTTTTGACAAGAGATTGTTGTTTGGGATGATCTATTTTGCTAGAAACATACATTATTCATCAACTTTGTACTTTAAAAATGAGCACTTGGCCCTAACTGGTTTGGCTCAGTGGATAGAGCATCAGCCTGCGTACTGAAGGGTCCCAGGTTCAAGTCCAGTCAAGGGCATGTATCTTGGTTGTGGGCACATCCCCAGTAGGAGGTGTGCAGGAGGCAGCTGATCAATGTTTCTCTTTCATTGATGTTTCTAACTCTCTATCCCTCTCCCTTCCTCTCTGTAAAAAAAATCAATAAAATATATTAAAAAAATAAATAAAAATGAGCACTTAGTCAAACCAAAGATCAAAAGCTGGCTTTAGAGCACTTACTATCTAGCTTCCAGTCCCACAACTGTCCACGGTGCTCTGCCCATGATAGGACCTGGTATAGAAAAGCAATGTTACTTCTTCATGTCTCAATTCTTTGTTAAAGAAAGGCCTAAACACAGAAGTCATATTGCATAATGATTAAACATTTCTGCTCTGAAATCAGACTCCATTTACTTGAGATCTTAACCTGTCATTTAATGGCTGTGAATCTGAACCCTTAGGAAATTATGTAGCATCTTTCTGGATCAGTGTTTTCATCTATGAATTTAACAGTTACCCTGATGCAGTTGTGAGGATTAAATGACAGTATCTACTTAAAGCTCTTGCCCTAACTGGTTTGGCTCAGTAGATAGAGCATCGGCGGCCTGTGGGAAAGGTCCCAGGTTCAAGTCCAGTAAAGGGCATGTATCTTGGTTGTGGGCACATCCCCAGTAGGAGGTGTGCAGGAGGCAGCAGATCAATGTTTCTCTTTCATTGATGTTTCTAACTCTCTATCCCTCTCCCTTCCTCTCTGTAAAAAATCAATAAAATATATTTAAAAAATAAAGCTCTTAGAATATTGCTCAGCAATAATAAATATTCAAAAATGTTGTTATTGTCATTATTTTCTCAGTGTGTGAGTTAAAAATTAAAATGATCTAAAACACAAGCTACTGTTATTAAAGTATTGAAGAGAAAAATTTTGGGAGAATAGATGTTACAAAAATTTCCCTATAAATATTGTCTATGATTTTTTGATTCTATCTATTCCTTTATGTTTCAGCTTTTAGTCCAAGATGGAATGAAACGTTCACATTTATTATCCAGGTGCCAGAATTGGCATTGATACGTTTTGTTGTGGAAAGTCAAAATATAATAGCCGAAAATGAATTTCTTGGGCAATATACTATACCACTTTTATGCATGGGCAAAGGTAATATGCCTAAAAGTAAGATGATTGTGCTGACAATTATAACTTTTTACCAAAGACAGACTTTGATATACCAAATAGCTCTATCCATGACATCCAGATATAAAGGAGATTTTACATATTGACACATGTTTTCTCTTGGTGAAATTACAGAAATGTGTGCTCATATTGGATATGGGATTGGGGTGTGGGATCAATAGGCAGACTAATTAGACAAACTTGGCATATATGAGCATTTCTGTACATGGATCATAGCTTTGTGTTTCAGCTAGGAATAGTCACGGCTACCATAAAAAATGAAGGATGGGAATCCTAGAGAAGGGAGAAGCAGTGGCTCATTCTTCCCACCTCAGGAGAAGAGACTGGGAGCTCAAGATGATCCTTTCTTGACTCTTTTCAAGGCTGCCTGTTTATTGCATCACCTTACGGGCTGATTTACATTGTACTCCCAATGACCTCATCTCAATATGCTTACTTTTCTAACACCATGTGAAATATACCTAGGAGACAGAGTCTGAAGCAGAAGGGTGGTGGCTAATTTTGGAGACCTTGCACTTTGAAGGGAGTTGCTGAGCTGTGACCTCAGTGTAAATCAGTAGAAAACCAGAATAGAAACTTATTTTATTTTGTTGAAAATTAATATGCAAGATGAGTAAAACTATGTAGCCAGAGTTTTTATGGTATGCTTAGTAAAGATATATTCTTTCTCAGTAGCACTATCGAGGCCATTGCTGGTTAATTTCTTTTTATTGTTCTAATTAGATATGATTTTTTTTGCAGGTTACCGTCGCGTTCCTCTGTTTTCCAAATCTGGGGAGGATCTTGAGCCTGCTTCACTGTTTGTTTATGTTTGGTACATCAGATAGCAACTAATAGCATCTGACCCATTGTTAGCTACATATCACAATAAAATGGCCAAAATAAATGTTCATATACATTTTCCCTTTTTTTCAACATACACACACATAATTATTTACAAAAACAGAAATACTGAGCAAATTCACTTGTAAATATGCACAACAGTGCACAACAGAGCAGTGGGGGAAAGGACATAGAGAGTTCAGCGGCTCCTGACTCAGTGTGGTGTTCTTGTCAGGCAGTTTCTCCTGCCCCTTCTCTGTGGAGGCTGTGCTTCCAATTGGCTTGTATCATGTTAATTAGTAGAATTCACAACCTTTAAAAATATGTCTGAGTGTACAAGATATGTTGGCAAATATTTAGCAGTACAAAAGGAATGTGAAATCAAAGAGTGCTTTAACTTCTAGACACCCACTACTGCATATTGTACTGGGAAATAAAATTTCCAGGTAGTATTTTGTGTTCTTGGGCAATTAGCCCCTGCAGTCTCAAACTGGTGCTTAAATGCTGTGCACTGGTTTTGGCACCTAGTAATCACACAGACATATTTATGAGTGTTTATGAAATTGATTTGGGTTCCAACTGTATTCAGGTTCTATATCTATACAAGAGATCTGTTACGTGGATTTACATTTTGGATCTCTGAATGAATTTTCAAGGATTCTGAGTCTGTACTAAATGTACTTTGGAGATTGTTTCTTTAAAAAATATATTTTTTTATTGATTTCAGAGAGGAAGGGAGAGGGAGAGAGAGATAGAAACATCAATGATGAGAGAGAATCATTGATCGGCCACCTCCTGCACGCCCCACACCTGGGATTGAGCCGGAATGTGGGCATGTGCCCTGCCTGGGATTCGAACCATGACCTTCTGGTTCATATATCATGCTCAACCACTGAGCCATGCCGGCCAGGCTGAAGATTGTTTCTTGATCACAGATGAGGTTCCTGTGCTGTTTCATATGCTAAAACCTACTACCGTTAGTAGGACTTTATATGTGGAAGAATATGGTTTCCTATTAACTGTTCTTAAAAGAAAAGAAATAGGCTTATTAATATTTATTCCACCACATTGTTGCATGGCAGTGAGGTGAAAGCACTCAGCAAAATTTCTGACAAATTATGGGGTCCTCATAGGTATTTGTTGATTTTAAATCTGAACTTATAACTAAAATAACAAAAATGACTACTTGAGATGTACACTGATGCCAGAAAAATACAAATAACTCATCTGTCATGTTTTACTATTGTCATAGTTTACTCTTGAAAGTAAATATTCAAAATAAAAGTGCCACTTGGAGTGCAAATATCCAAACTAAGTAGTAAGAAATGTCCCAAATCACTCAGTGCATAGGCATCCGGATTCTCCCTCGTGGGCTCTCTGCATCAAAGATCAGGGTGCACTCTTCCCCGTGGAGATGCATAGCCAGAGGGGTGCTCTGTTTTGCTAGATTATGGAAGGGTTTGACTTACATCATCTATTGTGTAGCCTAACAGTAGGTGGGATGTTCACCCCATTGGCCCACGGCTTTAATTTTCTCTAACTTTCTAAAGTCTTTTGAAGACATGGAATTGTATGAGATTTAAAGATTTTGATCAGATGAGTTTGTAGGAAGGTTCAATTAATTCAGCAGGATACACTTTTTAAACATCATTTACACTAACAAGATTTGAAATAAGGGAGAAAAAAAGGATATATTTTCTTTCTCACTTTTTCTTGGGTATCAATGAAATTCAAGTCACTAACTTTGAAGACCAAATCTTTCATTTTTTTTTAGTATTACACTCTACTTGAGAAACACAGCTTTGAAAGGAAATATTGGATTATTTTATTTTCTGTCCAATAACCTGTGATCTGTTTAAATATATCTTTTTTTGTGTGTATTATTTACCACTGACTTTACCCTTTAAATTGAACAGGCATCATAATCATCATCATCAACATTATCATGATTATTTTCTCACAAGAACTTTTAGCAGTTACTACCCATAGAAACTCCACAGTCATGGAATGTTCTTACATTAGAGGAGATTTGGAATGGTTTAAGAAGCCAGCTTTGGTATGTGCTTTCTATGCATAATTCACTTGTAGGAAAAAATAGTGTTGGTGAGTGGAAGGAAACAGAAGAAAAGGCTAAGTGAACCACTGGGCTGTGACAACAGAAGACCTTTTGACTTTTATTTTTTAAAAAATTACTATTATTTTTTAATCCTCACCCGAGGATATTTTTTATTTTTAGAGAGTGTGGAAGAGAGAGGGAAAGAGACAGAGAAATATTGATGTGAGAGAAACACATTGATTGGTTTTCTTGGAGGAGCCTGCAACCAAGGTAAGTGTCCTTGACCAGAATCAAACCTGGGACCCTTTGATCAGCAGGCTGAGGCTCTGTCTACTGAGCCAAACTGGCTAGGGTGACCTTTTAACTTTTATACTCTCAGTTTAAATGTCAGTTCCTCAGGGAAGCCATCATAATTTTCGGGATTAGGTTATATTCCTTGGTTGATGTTTCCATATAACTAAGAACTGATTTTGCAGGATCAGAGAGGCTTTGATGTTGCTAGGAGCAGGCCTGCCACTCATGGTTAGGCCATGCTGTTCTCCTGTTGAACATAAACAGTTTCACAAAGCAGCAACACCGGCCACAATCACTCTGTGACCTTAATGGATCAAGAAAAAAGCAAAATCACTCTGTAATCATGCTTCAACACATGAAGTTGTTCAAATTGATAAAATACAAGCCCTATAAAATAGTACAGTCTCAGCTCTCTTTTGGGCATTCTGACCAATAACTTGCATCAGTTGTACATTAAAGGTTTTTAGTTGATTCAGATATAACAATATGTGTTCTAAGACCAGGATTAGCCAACCCTTTAAGCAGATTTGGTTATATGAGCCTCTTTAAATTGAAGGACACACAGATTGAATGGAGTGCTAGGCATAAGATACTATTCTAGACTGTGCAGGCTTCTGAGCTTGTTAGAAACTTTTATGGAATTGCTTGTACAATCAAAAGTATCATCTTAATTCAGGGCAATTTTTCACTAGATGTGCAATGAAGATTGAGCCTGGGGTATTAGGACCGGGTTGTTGCAGAAGAGATAGTAAATAACAGTTGCTGAGAATTAAGTTAGAATGAGGAGACAGCTGTATTTTCTCATTAAAAACCAATAACACCAAACAGTTTCCTGAAATAATATATGCTAATTTGTCAAACCCAGGAAGTATCAAAAACTATAAAGCTATAAATCACGGTCAACCATGAAATAAAACTATCTCTCTTAATTGTTTTGGTTCTTTGGAAAAACATCAAGTCTCCTCTTTCCTACATCATTTATTTAAAGCTGTGCATACCATAGAATTGTCTGCAATGGTGGAATTGTCATAATATCTTCTCTGTCCAATAGGGTAGACATTAGCTACATATAATTATTTATCACTTGTGGTATGACTAATGTGTACAGTAGCTAGTGCCATTGAGGAATCAAATTTTAAGTCATGTTTTATTTCAATTAATTTAAATTCAAGTAGCCACATGGGTCTGGTGCCTACCCTATAGATGGGATAGCTCTGGAGTGCTGGCCTCTCTTCTGCTCCTGAATATTAAGCTTTATCCATTATGCTGGCTCACTCACACATCATCCTTATTATCCACAGATGCCATGATCATATTCTATTTCTCTGATCTGTGGCTATTTCTTCTCAACCCTCTCACTCTATTAGCGCTTCAATCCAATAAAATATATGGTATCTTACTTGTATAGCACTTAACAGTTTATCAAATACTTTCATATACATTATTTAGTTTCTCATATTAAATATAACTATAAGCTATGTTTTTCCTAAGTGATTTTCCCAAATGAAAGTTTCTTAGCTGGTGTGATCAAATAAAGGAACTCATTTGAAAAAACTCTTTGACAGTATAAACATTGGTGATTTTGCTGATTGGCTAGAAAAAAATATTATTAAAATGGGTCAGAGTGATAATGTGAAAGAAACACTGAATTGGTCATCAGGAGACCTCTGTCTGCCACCAGTGACAATAATGATAATAATAATAGGAATAAAGTCATGTGTTATTTACTAACCATATTCCAAGTATAGTGCTAAGTGCTTTATATGCACTAACCAGTTTAATCATCATAGCAATTAAAGGAGAATTTGCAGAGGGAGACACTAAAGATTAAAGAGCTAAGTAATGTGTTCAAAATAATATATTGAAGATATCCTGGGTGGGCCCTTCACCTCTCATTGCTTACTGAATTCTCTTTAAAAGTGAGGCTTCTGAACTAGATAATGTTTTTCACTTCCGGTTCTCTATGACACAGTCAACTGGGATGTCTAATTAATAATCTGATTTTTGGCAGTGTTCATTCTGATATTGATATGTGTATAATTTTTGTGATTGTGGAGAAATGTAGCAGAGATAGAAAAACTCTTGAAATATTTATTTCCTAAAAACTTTGATTTTATATTAATCTTGTTTCATGGTAGCATATTTCTATTTTACTTTTTTATATTTGTTATGGACTGAATGTCTGTGTTCCTCCCAAATTCATATATTAAAGCCTTCACCCCTAATGTAATTGTATTAAGAGGTGGGTCTCTGGGAGCTAATTAGTTTAGATGAGGTCATGAAGATGAGTCCTCAGGATGGAATTAGTACTTTTATAGTAAGAGGAAAAAGACACCAGAGTGTCTTCTCTCTGCCATGTGAGGATGCAGTGAGAAGGCAGCTGTCTGCAAGTCTGGGAGAGAGCTCTCACCAGGGGCGTCATCTGCTGGCACCTTGATCTTGGACTTCCTAGTCTCCAGAACTGTGAGAAGTAAATGTCTGTTGTTTAAGCTATCCAGCCTATGGTGTTTTGTTATAGCAGTCTGAGCTGATTAAGACAATATCTTCTAGAATCTCACTGACAATATGAATTAGATTTAAAATAAAGTTATTATACCTCCCAAACAGATGTATTATAAAGATTAAATAAAATAATGTATGTAAAATGCTTGCTAC